AATTGCAAAAATACTGTGAAAAAATCGGATTTTTCATATTACTTAAAATTTTCTTCAAACATGTCACAAAAAATAAGATAGTGTGCTTTTAGTCCTGCTTGCTTCCCCATGTGTAATGAAAAACATGAAAAACTGTTCAAAAAGCCTGTTTTTCAGTTATAACTCCCTGGTTTTTCATCCAATGTTTTTCAAATTTGTAAATTACATATGATACATTGTCTTGCATCAATGTATTGTTAACAAAATCTGCGACAAACTAATTCCAAAATTGACTTTTGCCATTTAGCCAATAGTTTCTTCATACAATTCCATCCTAAATTGGCATTCAAACAACCTTTGATGCAAAGGTAGTTTGAGAAGGACTATTGAATTGTTATAATGGAAAAATTCTCAAAGAACCTCCTATTAACCCCAGCTTTATAGTAAATGTGTGAAAAAGCATTTGGACTTGAATCAAGCGCTGATGCTTCATCCCTGTTTTTGTTTATTAGATTTGTGAACAATGCCATACTATTTGAAAGTTATTATCACCATAGGAAATTTACTGAATATTTAAAATGAAACAATTTAACCTCGAACAACCACCACACAAGAAGTTTTTATCAATGAAATTCCTTTATTAAGAACAATCAAACACTTGCAAAGGACATACTGTAAAAAAAGATGATGCATGCAAGTGGAGTGCAGACAGACATTTCTAGACAGGGGTACGGTTATACAATTGCAGCCATTGACACTCGGGCAATGCTGGGTAACTTGGCTAGTAAAAACTAAATGAGTGGGGGATAACGTGGAAAATATATATTTCCAAAGATTTTCTAAAAAGTTTAAAAAACAATTTAATTCCATATTTTAATAAATGTTTAAAGTGTAATTAAAAGCCAATAATTATTTGATTTTTGAAAGAATTTGCAAATCATTTTTTACCACCAAAAAATGCTCAAATTTCATGTACAAATTTAAGGTTTTTAAAATTTTTTTTTTAATCAATTTACTCCCAACAGGGCAGTAATGCCACTAAAGATGCAAGGGGCTAGTGGAAGTGAAAGAAAGAAAAAAAACTTTAGAAGGAACTATAAGCCAAATCCCAAACAGGAAAGTTCCTGTATTCACACACAAAAATTTGTTTTTAACCATGGTTCTAAGGAAGATAGCAAACAATTTTACATCAGAAAATCCTTTCTTTCCTCTGAATAATATCACAAAGATTTTGATGATAGAATGTTTTTATTATGTTTTTGGGCATTTATTTACTGTATCCTTTTTCTTTTTTTAAGTGAATTTTTGGAGGTTACCTAATTGTATATTAGTAAAAATAAGACTGGATATACTTTCAATACCACTGATTTTATTCTACTTGAGGAATATAATTAGGTAATCAACAGCAGATCATAAACATTGAAAATATTTGTATCCATATTTTCAACCTGGGTTCAAACTAATATATATATATATATATATATAATCAAGCTTGGAAATATGTATGCAAGCAAGGGATCAACTGTATAGTATGGCTTACTTATTTCTCTTGATGTAAAAAAAAAAATGTGAACTCTTGTGTAAGTATTGTTTTGTAAATTAACAATACATTATAATTTACTGGCACCAAATTCCTGTTATTGAGGACTATTTTTCAGTTAGCTATAATATATTTAACATCAGATTTTATTGTATCTTGAGCAAAAATGTATTATTAATGCCTGTGCTTATGTCCTGAATTAGTTTAAAAAGAATTTTAATTTGGACTCTAATTATCAAAAATTGTGTTTATCACCATAATATTTGTTTGAGAAAATAGTCATATGATTTAAAGTTTGTAAGATTCTGGACATTCAAATTGTTTCACTTTTAGCATTTTCTTCATGATAATTGTTACCAGTACGAGGCATAAAGATAAAATATTTTGTAATGTATTTAGTTTGCTCTCAGAATGTTTTCTGCTGCTAAAGATTTTTGATTACACACTAATTTTTGTTATGAATTTGATATAGGCTTTTTATATTTAAAATTTGGTAGAGAATTTTTAAAGTTCAAAAAACTCATCAAAAACTACATCAAAAAAAGTACATACTTGAATATTACTAAAAATTAGCTTGCAATTTGTTGATTTTGTAAACATATACTTAAATGTTTTTATAATCCCATTATCTTTAATGATCTATAAGTAAATGAATGTTGAAGCCCAATGTACTGCCATCTAGTGAAGAAAATTGTACTTGGTTTTGTATTTAAACCATTTTCTATAAAAATTTAATGCATTTGGTGTATATTTATCATTTATAAACATTTCCATAGCTGGTAAGAATGTATATTTTACTTTGCAGTTTTGTTACAAGTAACAAATAAAATCTTTTTTCAGTGATTTAGGTTATATTACCTGGAATTGAAGTATTCAAATTTTATTCAGTTTGAAATAATGTTAGTTAAGAAAATATATGAACATCAATTTATATAGATGCATAAATTTATTAGATTAGCTGTTTATGAAAACTATTAAATCAAATATGTCAAACTAATTAATTTGCAAATCTATTACAAGAACTTGTATTCTTGTAGATATAGCTGTTTCCTGAGCTAAAACTATACTTTTACATATTTTATGACTTTGTCACATTTTAGGCATTCTTATAAATGCTATTGTGCTTTTAGCCATACTGATTTGTATGATTAAAAGAATTATTTACCAGTAGATAATATCAGATAGGGAGATATAAGAAAAGTTAAAAGGCATGAAACTTATTTTTTATGCATTTAATGAAATCTGGAAGTACCATTTGAATTTGTATCATAATTTGTTTTTGATGAATTTAATGTTTGTTAACTGTGAGTTAAATAGCAGCACAGACTAGGCTTTCAAAAGCTTTGCTTGGCAGCCAGTCCAAGAGAAAGCAATGGGAAACCATGCCACTATTTTTCAAAAGAACCATGGCAATGTACAATTTCGCTATAGTAAGGAAACTGGTGACCCATGATCACCTATGTTTTGAAGGGTAGTTAAAAGAAATTTTATGTCAAGAATTCAAATGATTATTGAAATGAGTAACAAAGGATTTAAAAATACTGAAGCGACTCACTGACACTAAATGAACTTTTAGGTGAAAAACTAGTGTGAACATACTGTAAGGCTTTACACTTTTTAGATGAAAAAATCACTGAAATTTAAATATGTCAAGATTTTTGCTGGATATTATGTATACCATACCCAATATTAAAGAGTCAATCCTAAGAATGAAAACAACTTGTCCACTCTACTCTCCTTTCGGCAATGCTTTATATTTTGTCAAACTATAAAACCCGATTGTTCATACTGACTATAAATGCTGTATGAAGTTTATATTATAAATCAGTGATGCAAGAAGAAATATTGCTGTCAGAATCTCTCTCTTTCTCTATTCCTTGTTGTTTTTATTAGTAGTATTATAACTATTCATAATGCTAATTTTTGTAACTGTTTTTGTCATTTATTTACTTTCCTGTTTTGTATTTAAATTTTAAGATTTTATTGTAAATTCTATTTTTGAAGCTTTAATAAAATGTTAACTTATTTTTGTACACTGTATTTATTTTACACTTATGTAAATTAATCACTCTAGGAAGTGAAGTTAAGTAGCAATTTGATTTCTTAGTTTGTCTACTTCTGCGAGTTACTGAACAAAATCATTTAAAAATATATACATATTGCTATCTTAGTGGATCATCAATATCCATAATCTTTGGTCACTTGTTACCCAATATCCAACACTTAGTTTAGTAAAATGTATCTTATATATATTCCTTGAGTAAATCTTCTTTATCATTCAAGGAAGGCATAAAATCATTGACTATTCAGCTAGTTTACAAAATTTTTTACCTGATAAAAATCAGATTTGTCTATAAAAAGATATTAATATTTCTTCCTTTCTGTCTGTTCTTTTCTTAAGGACTTGTATAGTAATTTAATACTCTCTCTCTCTCTCTCTCTATCCAATACTTGTGAAATTCAAGGTTCAGAGATAAGTTAGAAATATTTGTCTTTGCCATAGTTCAGTGTGAATTTTCATTTCAACTAATTTTGCTCGCATACTGAGTAGATTATTTCAATCTTTTTTTTCCCTCTTTTAAATATAGGCTATATTTACTTCATTTTTTTTTTTTTTTTTTTTCTCTAAATTTGTTTTTGTTAAATATGTGTTGCCTTCAATATTATACAAATCATCTAAAGTGTTCATTTGATAGAATGTAAACCTATCTTTATCCTCAATATTTTAGAACTTTTGTATTACTATAGTAGATGCTGATCTCATAGCTCACTGATAGTGAATATAACTTTCACTTAGTGCTCTTTAACTATGACCTAATCCCAAATTTAAACTAACACATGCCTGAAAATCAGACATTGCTTCTCTTTTAGGTAAATGACTAACCTTATTATTTTTGTGATTGGAAATAATTTTTTCAGTGTTACTGTCATAAGCAACTTTCATATGCTCATTGTATAAGATTAACTTATGAGAAGATATTTCAATTTTCAACAAATTTGTTTCTTGTGATCAGTCTTGTAAAATATTCCTTGTGTATTGAGTATAAATAACTCCTTGATATTGTTTAACATTGTGGATTAAATGAGATAGTGTTAAATTGTAAATATTTTTATAAGAAATTAGTAATTTATATATGATAACACATTAATACAGTGTTTATTAATGATCAAGGTATAGTAATGGTATTTAGAATGACAGTATGTTTGGAAAAAAGCAGGGTTGAGTTGATATGCAAATAAATGATTTTAAGAATGTTGAATGTTATGAAATTGGGGAGAAAACATAGGAAGTTGTAAAAGAATATAGCTAGTTATGGCTTTTTGGAAAACCATAAAAAATTATGGATAGTTTTGAAGTGTCACTGAATTCATCATGTTTGACTTTTAAAGAAACAGTTATTTATTTTATGTTTATAGATGAATCAGTTTAGCCCGGATTAAATCTGCCCAACTCTTGGACTTAATACATGAAGAAGAGGATATGGAGGAAGAGAGAGTGAAGAAGGGTGCCAAGGGGAGACCCAGCACATCATTGTCCTACTCTGGGAGTGAGTCTGAAAATGATGAGATGAAGATGGCTGTTGACTCAAAGAATGAGGATAAATGCTCTACAGCAGAAAACACTGCCAGGGATGATGGACAAGAAGAAATAGACGAAGAAGAAGAAGAAGAGGAGGAGGAGGAAGAATCAGATGAAGAAGAGGAGGAAGATGAGGAGGAAGAGGAAGGTAAAGGAATATATAGTTACAATAAAAGTTTTGTTGGCATTAAATAACTCATTGAGGTTGATATGCTGTAAAACAAATCATTACATGCTGTTTAAAGAGCTCTTTCATTTATTTATTAGACTACTGTGAAAAAAACTATATCTTTCTCTGGTTATTACTAATGTAATTTCTTTGTGTTGTAAAAATACATAAATTTATTTTTGCTTTTTATGAACACATGCAACTCTTAACATAGAAAATATCTAAATTCTCTGTGACAATCGAGAAATAGCTGAATTAAACTTTGTTTGAAATCTGCAACCTGTTTAAGTTAAAAATGTTTCTTACATTTATTTAAGAAAACGCATTTACTTAATTAAACTTTATCTGAATTATTTAAGCTAGTTTGAAATACTAGAGTAACTTGTGTATATCTGTATACATATTTTATCCTGGGTATGACAATAAACTACATCTGACAGCAACACCTCTGATCAGAAGGTTTGAGGAGTGTGGAACCATCTCTTTATTGCTGTTGTTTTCAAGTCCACCTTGATCTGGAGTGGTAGCACCTGTTATGGTCCCAACTATGGGCAAATAGTTAACCCCCAAATTCGGGTCAAAACACTATAAAAATGTAAAAATATTTTTTTATAGTAAAAAATACCAGCAATACTGTTGTAGCATACTTACATATGATAATGAGTATGCCCCCATTCCCATAAATACAGTAGTGAATAGTGCATGTGTTGGTCTGCAGTCTGCAGTTGGAGATTCATTGTTGACTTACCTCTAGCAGTTGACTACTTCTACACACTACTGGCAAATCTTATATGTGTTGTTCTTATTCTAAGCATTATCGTTCATTACCAACCTTTATGTGATTATTTTATTCAGTGACCTTCCCTAGGTTACAACAAATGTTTTTGAAAAAATGTTATCAGCAATAAGAATCTTGTCGGCATTAAATAACCTGTTGATATGATGTGAACCAAACCATATTCATATCATTGCAATATTAAAAAGCATATATGACAAGGCTGCCAAAAATAGTTGGTAAAATCTGTCATCCTAATTAATGTTTGTACAATGCAGTTTTTTGACTGATTTTTATCCTTTGTATCTTAACAAATGTAGGAAAATAGAAAAGACATTAATTGGGTTGGTATCTAAAAACCCTGTTCATTGATATTCGTTAAATGTTACATTGCAAGTACATCTCTGTTCAGCTGTGTTCTACCATATTGACTAGACATTAAAAATTTAATATTAAACATTCCAAGGGTCGGGGGTAGGTTTACTGGAAGCCTCAACTTAATAAATCTTGGCATTACTGTGCAGTTTGTTTATTTTATATTGTGTTTATTTTATTTATTTATTTATTTTTTTTTTTTTTTCATATATAACAAATCAACCGGATACATGAAAATGTCAGTTCTTTAGCAATCATGCTTTCAATGTTCTTACAAGCTAAATGCCAGCCAGAAATATCAATTTGGTTCAAATCAAATGGATTGTAATAATTGTCTCTGTATTACTTAAAAACTTATTTTGATTATAAGTAAAAATTAGGTAGTGTAAAATAAAATAACTCTAGAAATAAATATCATGTGATAAAATTTTCTTGAATCATAGGGATCATATACATATTTCTTTATATGTTGTATACTATTGGTTAAGTAAAAAAAAGTTTTGCTTTGTAGAGTTTATTAATTTTTAATTAAAAATGTTTTTATGCTTTTTCAGAATATGACGATGATGATGATATAGGTGTTATTAATAAAAAGAGCCGTAAGAAAATGACCATATTGGAGTCGGAGTCCAGCGATGATGGTGAAGGAGATGACTGTCCCATTTGCTTGAATCGCCTAAAATACCAAGATATTGGAACTCCAGAAGCATGTGATCACAATTTTTGTTTAGATTGTATTCAGCTATGGGCACGGGTAAGTTGAATACAACAATCAACCATTCGAGTTAAAAAAAAAAAAAAAAAAAACTTTGTAAATTAGATAGTAATTACTCTTTTATATTTTGTGGCTTGCTTTGATTCTTGAATGATTCAATAAACTTGCTTGAGTTATAAAATTTGTAATGTGACCTTTGGGAGTAAACCTCAATCATTAAAATGTGGAATAATTCAGATTTGGAAACAAATGGCTAAACAACTCTAGTAAGATGAATGAAAGAATGATTGCTGATATTTTTATAATCCACAGAACCTCAAAATGCCAAAAAAAAAAAAAAAAAGAAAATGTTGATCATGCTCTATTTAATTCTGTTCATGTGAGATAAAATATATTTCTTTATTATTTATGCAAATGTATCACTTTGGACTAAAAATCTATAGTCAATACATCATGATTATCAATGAAAAATCTTTTAAAATTGGTTTTCAAAAAAACCTAAACATGTCTAATTTAAAAATGTCTTTAAACAGCTTTACATAGTCCAAATGAAAACATATCTCTTTAAAATCATTACACCACTGAATCAGTAGGTAAAGAGGTAGATTGTTTTTATAGTGTTTCAGTAAATGCTAATGCAAACTGATTAACACAATTTACAATAAAGTTGCTGGATATTATATATATTTTTTTATTTTCAACTTAAATTTTCATATTTTATACTTGTATGTCTTCAAATTAGGCCATGATGGAACTGAAGCTGTAGAGAATTTACATTTTATATTTGGGTCAGTACTGTTAATAAAAAAAGAATCAGTAAGATTTTGGTTCCAAAATTTTGCAAGAAAATCAAGAGATGAAACCTTCAATCAATTATGAAAGTAGGTTATATTGGAAAATTAATGAAAAATTTCTATCAGATAATTTGCTGAAAACTTCAAATCATTTAAGAATGAATTCAGTTTGAATTGAATAAGGGACAAATAAATAAATAAAAAAAAAACTGGAAGCATGTATGAATCATGGTCTAACGGTATAAAATTGATCTGATTTTGTATTCTGTTATAACTTTTGATGGAAGATTGCTTTTATATAATAATTTTACATTATGTATAATAACCAAGCAAGATCTGTTGGATGTAGATAAGAAACTGAACTATCAACTGAAACTTATTATTTCTGGAAGATTATGTTGGCCAAACAAGTAATGCACATTATTATGTAGGCCAACTTGAAGGAGTGCATTCAAAAATGAAAGCAGTAAGATGATAATCTCGGTTTGGTAAATAGAATAAGTGTAATTTTGCTGCATGATAATGTCTCTTCATGTTACAAAAATTAAATAACAAAAGTTGAATGAATTAAAATAGATGCTTATTGAACTCTGAAGAAATTTGTAAATAAACACATTTATTGAGTTATAAATTCTTTAAAAATTAAATTATTAATTTGTTACATGTTACTTGATTAAAATTAGAAAATTTAAAGTTAAATTAATCTGATTTGAAATAAATATTACTTATAGCATAAAAAAATGATATGCAAGCATTTCTTAACGAGTTGTTCGTCTTTCTTTGATTTTTATTGCTTTATCTAGAAGCACTTAAGATGATGACTGCTCTTATGGATGACCGGAAATGACAAAACTAAGTGAACACTTTTTTTTTTTTTTTTTTTTTTTTTTTTTTAACTACCTAGTAATTTTTACAAATTAACATATTTTCAGCAATTATTTCATATTTTATTGATTTTTAGTTACGTTTTTAAGAAGCTTTATGAAATTTGCATTTCATTTCTACTATCTTAAACAAAAAATTAATTAATTGAAGTATGACCCAAACTAATATAAATACATAAAATAAAAAATATTTAGCACAATAGCAATTAAGAAAAGTAAAACTTTTTTTTTTTTTTATATATTTTGAAGGGATGGTTTGCAAATATGTTACTGATGAAACAAAATTTAATTTCTCGAAATTTCATGAAAATATGTAAGGGGGTGGAAACATGTAAAAAAAAAAAAAATTTTACTTTTTACCAAGATCTTCTTAATAAAAAAAATTCAAAAATAATTTCATTCCTTTCTGAATACTTCCTGAAAGTTTCATTAAAATCTGACAATTATTTGAATTTTGCAAGAAATTCCAAATCAATATGTGTTTTCCTTGGGAAAAGTGCAAAATAAAACACACCTTTTTTTTCTCTAGTTGGCTGTTGTCGTAAAAAAAACATGATTTTTAACCAAAATTTTTAATGTCCTAGAAAAGAGTAAAAAATTTTAAAAAATAATAAAAAAAAATACTTTGATTTTTCCTCTTAATAATAACATAAACATTTTCATGACAAAACTTTGTTTTCATTGAGTTTGGGATCTTTTATCATGCTATGCTGCTTTTTTACACGACCCTGTGGAAGTACCTACTTTTATAGATTATTTTTTTTTTTTTCTTGAGCAACATGAGCTTCCCCAATTCAGAGTGGTTTCAAATTAAAGAAGCCTCCAGTGAATTTATTGATTCTGTAGGAAGAAAGTTTATAGCTTGTCTAGATACTATTGAATGAATAAATTTTGAATGAACTTATTCAGTTTATTTTATTTAAACAATGCAAATTTTATTTAAACAATGCAAATTTTAGTTTTCAGTAAAATTTTAGAAAACTAAATTTCCAGGAAAATATTTCTTGACTTTTCAATCATTTTGTACTTAAAATTTATTTTTTTAATTTCAGAATGTCAATACATGTCCTGTAGATCGTAGTGAATTTCAACTCATTTTAGCCAGACATGCTAAAGAAGATGAAATTTTTAAAAGGGTATGTGCTACCTTATTTATTCTCATGAAACAGTTGTTTTAGAATTTTTTTTTTTTTAGGGGACTATTGTTTGTTTTTTTTTTTTTCTCATTAAAAGGGACCTTTTATGTAGCAAATGGGTTAATAAATTTATTTTTCATTAATTATAAGCGTTTTCATAGTAAAAATGTGACTGTTTTTCTCATTTTGTTTTTCAAAACAATTCATATTGCTATGTTTTATATTAATTCTGAAATAAATTTTATTGGATCTGTAAAATTAATTTTTATTGACTGAAATTCCTCCTCTTCATAGAGGAATATATTGTTATATAAATGAGTGCAGGTTTATAAATTTGAACATTTTTTAATAGTAGAATTTATCATTTTGATATAAAATAGAGCTTTATCAATGTAAAATTTATTGGTATAATTTCTTGGGTCTGAAAGTTTTTAATTGCTTGAACAAATAATCTTAATGTAGAGAATCTTTTTCAGATTCCGGTTTCAGGAAAAGGTTGTCAGAATGAAGATGATGATGGAGATGTTAATGAAGATTTTACTTACTGTGAATTGTGTGGGCGGAGTGACAGAGAAGACAGATTATTATTGTGTGATGGCTGTGATTTAGGGTCAGTATCTTTTTTCTTCTTTTCAGGCATGTTATCTAAGGTATAATATGCTTAGACTCTTCACTTGGCTCCTCCTTGTGAAGCTATTACTTTCTGAAGTAATAATTTAAAAAAAATTATTTTTATAGGTTTCATTGTGAATGCTTGGACCCACCACTTGACAGTGTTCCAGTGGAAGAATGGTTCTGTCCAGATTGTGCAGAAGCTAATACACAACGTATGTAACCTCTTGGACTTTTTGTTAATGATCACATGCCTAGAAAAAACATAGTATTTAATCATAGAATTTTTTTTTTACACCTTTAAACTAAGACCATTAGCTCATTGTTGTTTTCATTTCTTAAATCTATAGATTTTGAAAGCATACACTAAGTAAATATTTATTTTATTTAAACATACATATAAAGTAAAAAAGTTTCAAGATTCTTTTAAATGATATAGATTTTATGTTAAAATATTTGAAGGGATTTATTAACATTTTTTCCCTTTATATTTGTAAATTTCTTTTGGTCGTTTGAATTGTTATATTTTGATTTGATGAAAAGAAATGTGTGACTACTTTTTATCATAATTATTTGGAACTCCTCTATGTTACTGTGAAAAGAGTGCTTACATCTTAAAATTTACTTAGTTTTTGATGAAATATTAGTACAATACTTCATTAATTGGTTTTGTTCTATATTTGGAGGATATAATATGTAAAAATTTAATTTTCAAAATAAAATTGAAATTAATACTTACAAGTAATACTTAAATTTATGTAAATATTTCTAAACTATTACTTTCTCAATAGGATCAGGTCGGATGTTAAATGATCTCGATGATATGCAGTATTTATTGGAAGAGAACTCCATAGATGGTATTCCTTATCTCCGCCCTCGACGGAGGCAAATAGCTCGAACAAGAATCAGTGAACGAGTCCGTGCTCGAATTCAGGAATATCGTGAAGGTCTTGCCCGACTTGTATGTGATGATGAAGAACCAGAAGCCTCTGATGAGGAGGTAAGTTTTATTGTAAAGTTGTTGAGAATTGTTGGATCAGAGAAGCATTTGAGATGATTCTTAAAAAGATTTTGATTTTTATATTTAATTCCTAATTTAATCAAACCTAAGAAGGAAATTGTTCACATACAAAAAATACAATGAAACTAATTTATGATTAGAAAAAAAAAAAGCTTGATTAGCCAACAGTTAGCTCTTAAAGTTAATCAATATTATATATATATATATATATATATATATATAATGAATTATTGGTAAAAATTCCAAATGTTACCGTAAAACACTAAGTTTACCAAACAAAAAACCCTGAAATGACTAAAGAAAAAGAAACGAAGCACAAACACAAAAAGGAAAAGGAACAACAAAAAAAAGCTAGACAACTAGGCTATAAGCTAAAGTGCTCAATACCTCTAGAAAATAGGCCAAGACAGAGCAGTAGCACTAATGAACCCGTACAAAGACTAGTTTCAAATAGATACTCAGTTTCACAGTATTAATATAATCCCACTCAATCTCTGTTTTTGTCTTTTCTTTTGAAGAAGTATAATGATTATTCTCTACTTGATTATATTGTTTTCTTCTCCAGGGAGAAGGTCCTTCTACTCGACTGAGTCGAACAAGAAGTCAAACTCGACAATCTGAAGCAAAAAGAAAACAGTCAAGTAGAAAGAAAACAAAAAAAGGTACAACAGGTAAACAGAAATCATACCCGAAAAAGAAACTTCGACGACGCACAAAAACATCAAGAAAGGTAATCTGTATTTTTTTTTATTTTTCTTCTCTCCAATGCTCAGAAATTATATTAATATTACAATACATTTTTATCATTATCAATCTATTGTATTCTAGGACTTTTAGTCACTTCCTAGGTTGTCCATGACCATGACTTAGCATTGAAGTAATTGTAGAGAAGTGTTTTTTCTTTTATTTAATTTTTTTTTTACAGGTGACAAAATATACATTGTCTATTTATTTTCCTTAGTAATAATTCTTGTCAACTCCATACACTGAATTTGAAATTTTCATTATGAAAAACGATGCTTTTTCAATCCCATTTACTTTGTAATATTGATTGAATTTAAGTAGAAGCTAATATGTATTAGATAGAATCTGTCACTATTTAATATCAAGTCTATGGATGAATGTTCTGTAGTGATGTTAAATACATTGTAAAATAAAATCCTGAATTTATGAACATTTTCTGCAAGCACCCACAACTTTGTTTCTGCTGAAAGTAAAAACAACTAAGATGGAGATGCTAGTCAAAAAGATTCATGAAAATAATAATCCTCTTCCTCAGAAGTTCACAGGAAGTTAAAATTTCCAGTTATTTAGTTTATACTCAATGTACTTAAGATGTACAATGGTTAATTTATCCATAAAATCTTGTATTTGTGTAATAAATAGTTTATGTACAAATTCTGAAATATAATTACCTTTGATTAATTATACGTTTTGCACTTTTTTCAGGCACAAATATTTGATAGATTACGAAATGCAAGCAAAAGCAAGTCATCTAAATCTTGTTTAGCTGGTAAGCTAGGGTTAACAAAGCCTCGTATGCCTTTGAGGAAATCTGATCGAGCGACTGCTGCCCAAATCCTGAAGGAAGATTTATATGGTGCAAAACCATTGTCAATTATGGGACAAAAGCATGATTTAGATCCTTTTCCTGAGTAAGAAATAATTCATTCTATGTTTTAATAAGTTGTGTTTATCAGTGTAAGATTTACATTATGATTCTGTTTTGAATTTAATTAAGTTTTTTCCTATTATAGATTTTAATTTAATAAGATTTAAATTATAAAAAAGTATTCTGTTATCAGTGTCTTTGATAAGTATTCAAATTGAAGAATTTGTATAAAAGTACTTACATCCATCTACCTTTCTATATTTTCCTCAATTAATCTCAACTAAATTCTCAGTTTGATACCATCAAAATAAAATTCAGTCAGATTCATAAAATTCATATTGCTACCATTATTTTCATTTATAGTTAGTACTCTTAGGTAAAATTAATGTTCACATTTTTATGTATTTGTTTTAATTTTTGTAGTGATGATTCTCACAGTCGACCTGATGAACCCCAAGCCAGTACCTCTCTTTTCTCTGCGTCAGCAGCCAAGAGAGCTTCAAAATATTCTGCCTCAGCATTGCTTTCCAGACAGCCTGTAGCCCGACCTCTGCTGTGCAAGTAAATATCAATTTTAAATATATCTTTCTTGTATGAGAGTGCAATTGGGGAAATTTGTCTGTGTCTTCATTGCACTCTTGTAACAGATACCCATTATCTGTAGTTGTGCATTTAAGTAACTTTTGTTTATTGGTGATAAATCAAGACTGATGATTCTAAATAAATTTTGAAAAAAAAAAATTAATGTCAAAAGAAGTGATCATCCACTTGGGTGATGAGAACCTGATTGAAACTGGATTTTGATGGACAGTATTTGCTGATAAGAAAGTTTTTAGCTGATTTTTCACTTGTATACAATTTTAATGGTTATGCATCACTTAATTATTTTATTCCTAATATGGATTTGAAGTTGCTGTTTAATGATGGCTATGTTTTGAAAAAATTATTTCCAGGAAAATTTGTCTTCATTGTGGCATCTATTTCATACATGTTAATACATACTTTAAAATTGTTTTAGTGTTTGCTCAAAATGAAATCTGTTTTGTATGAACAGTGCCACAAAATGTAAATGAAGCATAGCTATTATTTTTTACAATATGTATACCCTCGTCTTAGTCTAAAACTAAAATAGAATACAGTGGACCTTTGTTTTTACATTGGATGTTTTTGTTGAAAATTAGTATATTCTGAAATATTCTAATGTATATAATATTAGAAAGAAATATTTGTATTGAATATTGTCAATTTTTATGGCATACTTATTAATCAACTTTAATTTCCTTTTTGATAACATTTTACCTTCTTATGTAACTTATGTATTTATAATGACTAATGCTTTATACTACTTAGGTGTTTGTAATTTAATAATGGGGGAAAGGGCAATTTAAGTATTAATAACTATCTTAAATAATAAAAGAATTAAGTAATTAATAATCATGTCAATTTTTTTTATTAAGTCTAACACTGAAATTTTCTAGGATATCATGTTTTTTTTTAAAAAAAAATTATTCATTTTGTTTTTGTTGAAATTATCCAAGAGGTAGTGTTTTGAAATTAATTTTACTTTTTTTTTTATACAATTTTTTTTTTTTTTTTTTTTTTTTTTTGCCAGGTTACCAGAGGATAATCCAGGTAGTAGCATTTTCTCTAGTCACTGCAGCAACTCAGGTGCAAGCAGTGCAGCTAGCAGTAGTGGAGGGATAGACCTGCTTGGATCCATAATGATGGACCAAAATTTACTTCACCTTGAGAGCAAAGATGTCAAAATAAACAGAGATGGTGTGTATCTTGTTTTTTTTGTTTTTTTTCTTTCCCCCTCTTTGTAAACATTTTTCATTTTTTTTCAAATGCTTACATTTCTTAGCATTGAGCATATTTATATGTGTCCCTTTAGCAGAAAAGTTATTGATATGGCTCTTGCAAAATCCAAGTTTGAACATTTTAAATTCATAGATGTATTGCCAAAGAAATTTTTTTTTTTTTTTTTAATAGGCCTACTTTGTATGTTGTGTATATGCAACTTGCTTAGTTGATATAAGTTTTCTTAAAACTAATTTTTTATAAAGAAAAAATAAAATTTACTGGCAGAAATTTTTATTGCATTAAGGGGTGCTGAAAAGTTCTTGAGTTGACCAAGAAATGCTTCCTCAGAGAAAAATCTGATTTTGGTCAGATTTTGGAAAGTGGGTTGAGTTGAACTTAGAACAGAACTTTCAGTATTAACTTCTCAAAATCTGCCATAGGCATAACTTTCTGAACATAAATTCTTTGATATTTTTTTTTTAAATTTCAAAACATCTTTTTAGTGTCAAATGATAATGAAAAGTTGTATTTGTTATGTTTTCTTTTTTGCATGGATATGAAATTTTTAATTTATATTTTCCTTGATAATTCACTTATAGTTTTTCTTTTGTTTGCAGGATCTTTGACAGCTAAAAAAGCCATCACTGCTTCAGCTGTAAAAGAACCAAAAAAGATGTACACTTCCAATTTGTTTTTTGATTCTAAGGAGGATGAAAATTCCAGTGTTCACATGGACAGTGATAATGAAAGGAATTTTGAATCCTCTGTAGTTGCTTCTATAGGGCATTGTTTGGAAGAAAGCAATGATAATGATAATGATGCTACTGCTAGTAAGGTAGATTGTGAGAAGAAAGAAAATCCAGAACTATTAGAAGAAACTGTTCAAAGTGAAACAGATATGAAATGTTCTGATGCTGAGATAAGGGACTCTGACAGTGAGACAAAGCCTTCAACCGTTGAAAGTACAAATGAGATGTCAGTTCCAGTAAATGAAGGTGGTGGTGATGAGGAGGAGGAGGATGATGATGATGATGACGACAATGATGATGAGCAAGATGAAGAGAAAGATGGAAAGGATGAGAATATAGAAGACTCATTTGAAAGTAATGAAGCTGATAAGGCTGAAAATATAAATATTGAAGATAATGAAGACAGTTGCTCTCATGATGGACTAACTGAAGTTAGCCTTGAGAATGAACCCTCAGAGTTGAATGATGAAAATTTGTCACCTCAAAAGGAAGATGCAGACCAAGCTTACAACACTGAGGAAGAGGAGGAGGAGGAAGAAAATGTAGAAGAGGAGGAGGAGGAGGAGGAGGAAGAAGAAAACGAGGACCAGGTGACTTACAAAGATGAACAAAAAGATGACAACTTGTCTGAACATCTGGAAGAGGAGGAGGAGGAGGAGGAAGAAGAAGAAAAAGCTGCTTCAGAACTGGGATCATCTGGCTTTAGTCCTGCTCCATATAGTTCCCCAGCTGAGAAGAGAATGGAACAGAATAGTGATGCTGAGGATGCCTCGTTTGTAAAGGAAGAAGAGGAGTTTCTGTCTGATGAAGAAAATGACGGAAGAGATGCTTCCATATCTGCAGAAAAAATGGATGAGTCTGTAGAAGTATCTGAAATTGTGAAAGATGAACAACAGGCAGCATCGGATGTTGATGATACTGAAGATGAAGAGGTTATGGGAAAAGATGATGAGGATTCTCTTAAATCAGATGCTGAAGAAATTAATAACATCGATGAAACTGGCCCTAAATCTGATGCTGAAGACAGAGATACTGAAATGGCTGTCAAATCTGATGTTGAAGATTTAGATACAGAAGAACCAGTTGATGAAATGTCTATGCTTGTAAAAACTGATGGAGAGGATGAGAATGTCCTAAAAGAGACTGAGGAGGAAGAAATGGAAGCCAGCGGTGATGATAACAAATTTGTAACTGAAGAAGATGATGACTACAACAGTCCCGATTTAGGGACAATGCAAGATGACATGTTGCCCTCTGAGTCTGATAGGACAGAACAGGAATTTCCAAAAGCTGAAGAATCTGATGATAATTATGAAATGCTAGCCTCTGAAAATATGGTTGACCAAAATGAAGAAGAGAAAGATGGCAAACTTGAAGTTGTTGATGAGGCTTCTGAAAACTTTGATGATGCTGCTTCCAAAGATTCCGAGGAAATGGTCAAGACACATCATGAAGAATTAGAGACTTTTGAAGAGCAAAATGAAGTTGGTGATGAAGAAGTTACTCCTGCATCTGGTAGTGAAAGTGAGATGAGTTCTGCAGGGAATGAAGATGATGATGAAGACGAGGAAAAGCCTAAGGTTCCAATCTCAGAGTTACCAAGAATCCCAAAGAGAAATCGGCGTGAAGGTTATAGGCGTGAGAAAGGTTCAAAAGGTGATGGTCCTGAACTGAAAAGTGTTCTTGGACGTGTTGACATGCCTGAATATAAGATGGGGAGATCTTGGGACAAAAAAGACAGTAGAAGAAGTAGATGGGATCCTGATGATTGGAGTCAATCTGAAAGAGACATTGATTGTGCCAGCAACAGGGACAGAAAGTCTGAAGGTGGCAAGAGCTATCATTCAGATCGCTCAGAAAGTAGTCGAGACAGTGAAAAATATTCTTTTGAATACAAAGAGTCTAAGTCGCGAAAACGGCGGCGAGATCGGTCACGAAGTAGGTCCAGAGGACGTAAAGATAGTGCTGTTGAATATAGAGACATTCCACATCGTCGTCACTCTCCAGAACGGTCAAAGAGCCGAAGGAGAGAGCGAAGTCGAAACAGAAGCCGCTCTGGGTCAAGAGAGAAAAGCTTTGACTACGATAAATCCCATAAACGGAAAAGCAGAGGTCGAAGCAGAGATAGAAGTCAAAGCCGAAAATCTAGGCGGCATCGGTCCTATTCAAGGAGTCCCTCCCGGAAACGTGATAAAGAGCGTGGTTCAACAGATAAAAGAAGGCATCGTGATGAGCGTAAAAGAGGTGAGGAGCGTGGGCATAAAAGACATTCAGACAAATCAGATCCCGAAGAAAGTAGAAAGAAAAGGCACAGCCATGAAGACTATGATGATTGGGATGATGGATCTTGCCAAGTGGTCGACTTTGATGAATCTACATCACCCAAGGGGACCACTGGTAAGAAATCTGGTGAGTGTTTTTATGAATCTCATTCTTCCAATGAGAAACTGAATGAGAATTTCTTCAACAGACGGCCACAGCAAGAGAAAAACACCTTCAAAAGTGATAAGATAGAAGAGTCTGGAACTTTCTACAATGCAAGAAGTTCAAGCAAAAAGCACAAATTTGTTGATCGCTTTTACAAGGCTCCACATATGCGTAATCCGGGAACTGAGAAGTTTCCTATTCACTTATCTGAAGATGAAAGTGAGGAAATAAGTGTACCTCCCAAAGCTCCTTGCACAGAAGAACTAGAATCAGAGAAAGAGAAAGACACAAATGTGCAAGATAGTGGTGATAGTGAATATGACCCTGCATTCCCCACTGAATCTGGGAGTCCTATTCGTGAGGAAGCAACTGAAGAAGACCCTAAGCCATCAGAAGAACCAGCAGCACCAGTGGTTGTCACAGTGACAGCAACTGCACCAGTAGTGACAACAGCAGCAGCAACAGTAGCAGCAACAATAACAGAAGAAATAGCTAGCAGTGGACCTATTGAGGAAACTCCACCTGCTGGATCTCAGGGCATATTAGGAGATTCTGGCTTTATGATTACTGAGAATCCTAACTTGCAGAATATTCCAATGCAGCCTCAGAACATTACCTTTCCAATGGGAATTCGTATGATGCCACCTGGTATGCAACCAGGTATGCCACAGCATTTACTGATGAACCCCATGTTCTTGAACAGACCTCCTCCATTTAGCAGGCTACCTCGTATCTCTGGACCTGTGGGCAGACTAGGTTGGTCCATGAATCCCTCGGGGATCATGCAATTACCACCCAACCGGTTTGGTCCCACACGCATGGGCCCTGGTGGTGGCATCCCACCAAGGCCTGGACTGCTGAATGGAGGATTTGAAGGGATGCCTCAAGAGCCTGGACAACCAATGCCTCCATTCAAACAACACCCATGTGATCCCAGAAATATCCCTTCACATACAGCAGGTCCCCAAGGACCTCCTGGACAGATTCCTCGACCAGGTCTGGCAGGTCATCCACCACCTCACATGCCTCACATACCCCCTCCTGGACCTTTGCTACCACATCCCCAGCAACATCCCCCACCACCTCCACCTTCATCACAACAGATGCACATACCTCCACCAACGTCAGATACATTATCATCGTCGAGTCTGGATTCACAAACTGCCCCTCTGCATATGCAGCATGGTCTCGGCAAAAGTCAGCCGTCCTCTGATGACAAGTCAGTATCCTCAAATTTCAGTGTGCCAGAGCTGAATCAGATAACCAAATTGATTGAGGCCCACACTCAAGCCCTTCAAAATAAACAGAGGAACACAACCTCATCTCTACAAGGGGGTGATATTGATGTTTTCAAAATTCCACTGCCTCCTATGGCACCTCCCTCAGTACCTCCTCCAGCATTGGGGCTACCAATTGTGCCACCTCCAGAAACCCACAATTACACCTCTACTACAAAGTCATATAAAAATGGTCAGTCCAGATTGCTGGCAAATAGTCACACATCATCAGAACTTGCCTCTGAGTCAACTGAAGTAGTCGACATGGACGTTGCATCTCCTCTTGATGATGAGGTTGCAATTGAGTTGCCTGCCTCACCTGAATTGGATGATATTGATGAGAGCAAGATTAATATGAAGGATTCTTCTGTTATTGAACTGTCGGTGCCTGAAGATATGCCAGCATCTGCTGTTGAACTCACTAATTTGACCAATAAAGAAAAGGTATGTATTTCAAGAAAGATTTCATTTAAACTATACTTTGCTTTCTCTGATACTACACCTTGTAGAATACAGAATATATGTTTGTGTGTACATGTCATAAATAACTATGCCTTTTGTGGGAAGTGAATTTTTTGTATTATGCATCCAAGTTCTATGTTGATTGCTGTTCAGATGTGAATATTTGGCAAAAGGTTTTAACATTTTTAATTGTTTTCAAATTCTAGTAGGAAATGTGAAACAAATGCACAAACAATTTCTTAGTTACAAACATTTCAGGGGAAATTAAGTAATCTTTTCACTCACACTTTTTTTAATGACTACAAAATGACATTACTTTGAGGCAATTTTTAATTTAATTTTTATTATATAAAATTATTTTAATAGTTCTAATAGAAGTCAAAAGGAATATCTTTTGATGTCTAAATATCAAACTTTTTATTTTAGCATAGCTAATTTTAATGAAAAAAATTATGCAAAATATTTAACAAAAAACAAACATTTTATGTTTGTTGACATTTTTACTTTTATGCTTCGTATGAACAATTGTTAATCAGATCTTGGAAATTTTTTTTTTTTTTTTTTAATTTTAGTACATTTAAAAAAATTTACTTCCCACAATTTCTTAATGTTAGTGGTTTGTTTATTTTAAAAATTTCTTTACTTACTCCTTTTTAAATAGTAATCGTTTGCAGCTCCATTATTCTTTGGTTAAGTTCATGAGAAATGTTAATAAAATGGAGACTTAGTCAAGCGGGTATCACCAAGATATAGAACCATTCTAACCATGATATCATTGTTAAACTTAGTGTGATTCCAAGTTGTATAAACAAATGTTTCATTTTTTAAAGTATCTTATATTTTATGGAAAATAGTACAAAATTTATGAATCTTTTTTATGGGTTTATATTTCAAGTATTTAAAAAAGATCAGCTAAGTTTTTCTGAATTGGCTTCATAAAAAGTTTGGTAACATGGAAATTATATACAATTTGTTTTGAACTTTGACAAACATACATTCTTGTATCTATAAATAGTATAAAATAGTTTCCCTGGTTAGTGATTGGTTAAGATCTTTACTTATTTGATATAAATTTTAACCAGCCATTAAGCTGTCCTTTGGTTTATTCTTTTAACTCAAAAGCACAGCTTTTTCTGATTTTACTCACTGACATTTGTGATAAAGGAATATAATTGATCTTGCATTATCATTATGTACTTTGATAATTTTAAATAAGTTGGGGAATATATTTGGAATATACAGTTAAAAATAAACACTCTGCTTCTAATTGAAATTTTTTTTCAAAATATTGAAAATTGATTGATGAGTTAGTGTAAAAGTAGTCTTTAGTCATGAAAAATATTTTAAAGTTTAGAATATAAATAACTGTAAATAGAGGTTTTATCTGTGATGTGAGTTTAGAAATGTGCTCATAACATCCAAGATTATGACTACTTCATATTTGACAGCAAAGACATTTATTCTTAATACTAATGAATTAATTGAATTTGTTTTTGTCCCATGCCAGAATTGAACCATTTGGTACCTGCACTAATCCTAATTTGTAATCAACAGTTCACAAAAAATATTTTTCAATATATTGCCTCACTTTTCATTCAAACTTTATTTGCATTAGTAATTGGGATTTATTGATAGAGCAACAACTTTTTGCAGCAGTTTTTCTACTTTTTCTTTTTAAATAAATTTTCATTGCTCTATTATCTTAATTTGTTAAAATATAAAAATCAAAGATTAACTCTTTCATATTGCATCAGAATTGGAATGATTACTGGACAAATAGTGTCATCCTTGCATTATCTAAGCAAGATCCAATTTCGCAAAAATATCAAATCCAGAAACTATTTCATTGAAAATGATCAAATTTAAGCCATTCCTATAATGATGGATTGGCTTTCAGTGTATCCTTTACATTGGTTTTGATATGTGGTCATTATCCTTACATTTAGATTTTAAGTACAGTACTGTTAATTATATTTTTTACCAGTGATAATTGTTAAAGATTTCTTTTTTGTCAAAATGAAAAAGCAGCATATAACTTTGTTTCTTTATTATTTGTTTTTGGCTGTGTTCAAATTACCTATTTGATTTATAAAAAAAAAAGCTCTCTCTTTCCTTTGTATTTACTTTTGTACTTGTAAAGTTCACTAGTTGTATTATATAAATAGTTATCATTTTGTTATTTTCATTGCAGTAGTTCACCCTATCTCTTTTCTGTATTTGGAATTTAAAAAAAATTCTTGTCTACTGAAGTACTTGTATAATTACACAAATGTGTAATAATTTTGTCTTACTCAGGTTCATTATTTGGGGAGGCCATTGTTAAAGTTATTGAAAGCTTTTAAAATATTGGTTATTTTATAATTTTGATTATATTCATTAATTTTCATTAACGAAAAAATAAATTTCAACCTGTTTCTTTTCAGTGATTACTTTTGTATTGGCGAAATATGTAAATCAATGGATTTGATGAAATATGTAAATCAAAGCATTTTAAAATGTTATTGAATTTCTCGACATTCTAGATTTCTATTTTATGTTATTTTTTTTCTTTCACAAAAGATTTCTTTTCACTATTAGTATTCTTCAAAAGTAACTTAATTGTTTTTTTTAACATAGTAATGATTAAATGACTTTTGACAAAAATGGATAAAATAAAAACCAACTTTACAAAAATGTTTTCATGTCATGGTAACATTCTGCATAGCAATTTTTAATAAGATTTTATAACATAATTCTTCAGTTATATTTTCTGGAATATATGCATTAAATGAAATTGTAAAAAAAATAGATAATCTATTGTGACTAAGTTTATAAACTAAATAAAAAAAATTGAATGTTTTCAATCAGAATATGATACTATTTATTTTAAATAAATAGTAAGATACACACAAGAAAAAAATAACATGATAATGACACTTGTAAGAAAAAAATTGTGAACAGAACTAGAGATATTTGCATTTGAAGAAGTTGCTTACATAACACTGACAGTTAAAAGTAAAACTTAATATTTGATAACTCCACATTTTAAAAATGTTGAAATTCAACTCACTTTTGAATTTCAGCAAAAAATTTTTTGTCCTTATTTCATCACTGATTTTATATATATATATATATATATATATATATAATGCACTTCTATTTGGATTAGTATACTCATCTTGGTTGTAATACTCAATATTTTAGCCATTCTACTCTCCAACTTTCTTCAGGTGTCTGTTATACTTGGTAACGTTCTCAGATTTTTTAAACTTTTTATTTAATTTGGGGTTTGATGGATTCCACTTTCCATGCTCAAGGGATCCACACATAGCTTAGTGGATTAAAGCATCGATTAAAATATACCTGGTTCCATGGTAGTTGTGAGTTCAGTCCCCACAACTGGTAGTACTGAAAAAGTTATATACGCTGCGGTTCAATGGAAGAAACGGACAAGCAGCACAAAGGTAAGACTGGTGAGTACTAGCTGATATGAGAGACCTCTAAACATGGAAAGCAGAATGAGAACAATTGAACCCTGTGTGTTGAATAAAGAGTTTGGTCCTAAATTCTGAAAAGGTTACAGAGTATGACAAGACCTCTGAAGAGGACTGGGGTGTACAACAGCAGAAATGTGAGACTATCAACCAAGGTAAGTATACTATCCCAAATGGAAATTTCTCATCTCAAAACATTTGACATAAAAAAAAACAAAATCTCTCTTAAATAATCTTATGAATTAAGCTCTTGAAGGATAATCATTAGGTATTTTAATACAACAGCAATGACAATAATACTCTTCATGGATGATGTAAAGCTATTTATAAAATCTGAGAACCAGATTGATTCCCTATTGAAGACAGTGCAAGAATGTAGTAATAATGTAGCAATGCGATTTGGGATTTCCAAGTGCTGTATTTACTATGAAAAGAAGAAGGAAAATGCTCTTTTGTGGCATTGAATTACTATTCAAAGAAGTTATGACTGTGCCAAATGATAGCAGATACAAATACATTGGAATTCTCAAACTTGGTGGCATACTACATAGAGATATGAAGGACAGAATTGGGGATACTGAAAAGGCGTAAACTAGGACTCGAATCAAAGCTCCACTCTTGGAGCATGATTGCAGAATTCATCACACATGGGCAATGGCTGTAGTTAGAAACAGTGCTGCTATTTTAAGCTGGATGCAGCTCCAAATTGTCAAAATTGATAGGAAGACGTGTTAGATGTGCACTGTCAAATGTGAACAAAGGTCTCTGGCACGCTATTTGCTGAACAGCAAAGAAGAATTGTTGCAATATTCAGCTGCACAAATGAGTATTGATAAAGTGGAAAGAAAATAAGAATTCAAAGTGAGAAAGGCATGAAAGAAATATGATCAACTATTGGACATGCAGTTGCAGGGACAATTTGAAAGAGCAACAGAGGATTGAAGGATCATGAAGCCTCACAGAAGTGTTTGAATGTGACCTGAAAAGAGGGTTTGGAATTGTAATCATGATTGTGCAGGAACAAGCCTTATATACAAAGGCTATAGATAGCAGCATTATACTGCTGCAGATGACCCAATGTATAGACTTTGTGGAGAGAAACAAGAAAATGTCACATGTAATCAGTGATTGTAAAATGCTAGCACAGAGAATACAAAAGATGATAGGACTGAGTTTGCTTTAACTTGCACAGGCTCCTGTGCAACAAAATATGATTACATGTTTAAGAAATGGTACAATCATGTACCATTGGGAGTAATGGAAGGAGAAGGCAAGCCAAAGATAGTTTTGGGACTATGATTTCCAAAGAGATCATGTTATTGAACATTGAAAACCAGATACAGTTATACTCAACACAACTGAAAATGAATGCCAAATAATTGATGTAGTCGTACTTGTTGACTACAATATAACAGCAAAGCAAATAAAAAATAAGTAACTATTCTGAACTGAAGATTGAGATTGCCAGATTGTAGAAAATGCAAGAAAAAAATGTTAATGTCATCCCAGTAGTGATTGGGGCACTTGGCGTGATCTCATTGAAGCTTTAAGAATATGTTGACCAATTTGGTGCAAAATACATTTTGTGAAGACTACAAAAATCTGCCTTATTGGGTACTGCAAGTATACTCTGAAAAGTACTGTCTGCCTGAGGTCATTGCTGTGACTTGACAGGCGGTATCTTTCCAGTTACTTAAGAAGCCTACACGGACATAATACATATTATAACAAAAAATAATTGTTTGAAGTTGTTAGTAAACAGTCAATTTTTAAATACTCTTCAGTATGATTTGCTAAATTAAAAAAAAAATGCTAAGATTTTTATAAAACTTTTCAAAGAATAATAAAGATTTGTAGCTATATAGCTAAATTTGAAAATGTCTGCTTTTATGTCAGACAAACACCCAAAGATGTAGGATGTGAGTTCAAGTCTCAATGGAGATATTTTCTGACCCATGCTACTTAACAAATATAGACTGGAAAAAAAAGGTTATCATTTTCTCACAGAAATTTGAATCTATTTTCTCCTGGGCTGAAATGTTATTAAATAGTAATTATGTTTAATAACAAGAACAATCCTGAAATATTGACTGTTCTTATTTTATAGATATTTTGTTGATTAAAAGATTAATTTTGCATATATAGAGACTCATATTTATCTACTAAATTAATACCATATTTTGCTTTTTCTCCCTCTTGCAACCATTATGAAACGGCTGAATTTTCCTTGTGAATAATAATTTACTTTTTGAAACTCTTTTTGCAATGTGAAATTAGTAACAGATGTTTTTCTAAAGTGTTCATATAACTATTGGATATGGGTAACTAAAAACAGAATGAAAAAGTAACTGTCTGTTTTGACATCCATACTATATAGTTAAGAAATGTTTTTCTCAACTATTGTCAGTCATCATTAATAATTTATTTATCAACAGCAACTGCTATTTTAAAATAAAATGCCTTCCCAATTTTGATCTTTAACTTAGTTTTCTCTAGTTCACTTGAGCAATCACTTTTGGGGAGAATCGGCATTTAAATTTTTTTTTTAATGTTTCAGTATATCCTATGCTATTTTTTCTGGTAGGATAATTATACAATATTAGAAATGCAATAAATTATTAAATATCTGTTCTGTTTTTGTATTATTCTAATTCTGGTTTAACCAAATAATGAATATTTCAGTCCAAAGTCAGTGAACCATTGCAGTGTGCAAGATACTGTTTAGATTATATTCATATTCTATGAGTATAATGAATATTATGTGTACTAGACTGATAATTGAAAACAAAAAGGGTTTGTTTAATTTTAGAACCAGTTTCCTTTCCAGCTGAACTTCTGAAAAACTTTAATGAGTAATTTTTTAAAATTATTTTAGGTGTATAAATTTGTTGTACACATTTTTAAAATGTCTATTCAATTAACACTATAGTCAATTTTTTTCTCACAAATTTATTTACATAATTTAGATCAAGTTCTTTTAAAGAATTTTCACACTTTCTCCCTCAGTAATCTTAGTGTTGATAAATTTATAAATTGATTACTGAATAAGAAAAGCAGTAATATGTATGTTTTTTTTTTTGTTTTTTTTTTGCCATTTTAAAATAATTATTAACTTTTGAGATGTTGCATTGACTATTCACAAAATTCACATGATTAAAGGTGATTTTTTTTTAATCTCTTTTTTTTTTTCAAATTGCACTTGTTATCCAATATTTTAGGATATTTTGGTCATTGCAATTGTTTTCATTCTATTTAAATTTTACTATTTCTTTTACAACTTTTAAAAATTATTAATGAATTTGAAAAAAATTCTTAACAGTATGAAGTCCACTTAAAAATTTTGCGTGTTTATCTATTTATTTTTTTTAAACTTGAATAGTCCTTGTAAACGTTTTCATTTCTGTAATGATTGCCTGAGCTTTTCATCACATGAGCAACTGGATTTGGTGCATTGATTTCAAACAGGTTCAATTTTCCTGTTTCTCTGGAAGCATTTTTTTTAAATTTTATTCACTTATTTTTAAATAAAAATATGCAGTGTTTTAATGTTTATTGTTTCATGCTTTTTTTGTTTTGTTTTTTGTTGATTAACAGAAAAAAATAAATTATGCTTTATAAAATACTTTTTCTTTTTGTTAATAGATTGTATTTTGTAAAGTTGAAGCCTTATATTTTCTTGGAATTTTCAAATAAAATATGGTAGATATTTAAGGTAGATTAGTTTTCTTTAATAGGAAAAATTATCATTTTTACTTGTTAGGTTGAATCAAAAATTTGTTTTAAATATCTTCAGTTTAATTTTTCAAGAAATGTGATTTGTAAAGAATGTATTCAGGAAGTTGTTTATTTCATCTTATGTTTGTGTTCCTCATGATTCTTCTGTTTTTATATGTACATTCATAACTTGATTCCATGAGGGTTACTTAAAGGCTTATATGGAAACCCATCAATTTTCATGAACAGAGATGCCACTTCTTGAGAGATTGTTAAAATTGTCTGGACTCCCTAAATTATTTTTTCTTAGCAATATTTGTTGGCTTTGTGCACAAATACACTAGCTCACTCTTGCATACATACATGCATATGTATATCTATATAAAATATATGTATGCACATTGTATCAATGTGTGTGTGTGTATTATATATATATATGTGTGTGTGTGTGTATCTAATATATTAGACACAGTGACACATGATGCTTGTATGTCCTTCAAACTCTGGTCATGGTATTGTTGGTGATATATCAGCTCTGTCTGTTGTCTTTGTCCCACTTTGGGCAAAGGCTGCATGGACTGAATTTCAAAGTTGTTCGATCTTTTTTTACTTAGTGATGCATTTATCATCCCCACAGCATACATCACGAGTCAAAAAGAGCAATCCAAAGGCATCGCAACAACGAACCGTCTCACCCACATCTACCAAGACCAGCTACATGGGGGTGAGCATTGACATTTTTAAAATATTTAATTGCAAAAAAAATCTATATCGCTGTATATTAATTTTTGTGATAAAGGATTGTGTTCTGACACTTTTATTTTTCCCATTTTTCTTTCTTTTTTTTTTTTCTTTTTCTTTTTTTTTTTTTTTTCAATGCTTAGATAAGATTTTTGTTTATATTTTCAAAATTTTGTCCTAATTTTGAAATCTCAAATTGTTTGATAATTTATTATCTGTTTATTTGGCAAAAGTTCAAATGTTACTGTCTTGTGGAAGGTTCTCCCTACCCTCTGTCTTTTATACTTTTCTTGAGCATCTTATAGTAAATAAACCTACTAGAGTATGATTCAAGTTAATAGAAAACTTTAAAATGTTTTGAGTCATTATTATTTGAACTATAATTCATATGGACAATTATGAAACTGAATTCAGTCTAACACAAGGTCAAATTGAAAAAGTCATGATGATTGTGCTATAAAACATTTTTCAAAAGGGGCAGGATTAGCTTCCCTTTAAAATCAGTATTTGAAATATTGGTTTTTACCTGTACTCATTTATTAATTAACTACTGCCAGTAACTAGGTTACAATTCTTATATGCAAAAATATGATGATTTGTAAGTGGCACTTGTGAAAAATGTGTTTTGAAATTTACTTTGATCTTAATTTGTGTTTAGATTTTATTTCCCCATGTCAAGAAAATGCAGACTTTATCACAATGTAATAGCATTTGAACAATGGCCATTTTTCTTTTGCTTTTGGTACTCCTTTTATTTATTTTTAGCTTATGGACTTCGTTTTCTGTTTCTCTTATAATATTTATTAATATACCATTTTACACAAAATGACAAAAATTAACAATTGTTTAAAGGTTATTCTGTTTTTTTTTTTTTTTTGTTTTTTTTACTCTTCACTTCTTATATTTCACTTTTACCCACAATATTACAGTTAGTAACCTGCTCACAAATCTCATTTTGCTAACTTTTCTTTATTCCTTTTTGGCAACTATAAGTTATTCAGTGGCATCTCTGTAAACATGAACATTATTTGGTATTCTGTTGTTTACTTCAGTTTTGTCTATATAATCTCATAGTTAAATGCTATTTGCTAATATTCTTGCTTGATAACTTATTCACCTCATATTTAACCCTTTTGATCAATTTCTTACCTGGAGAACTTTTGGATAAATCTTCCTGTAGAGTAATGTTTGTTATCTTTGTTATGCTTTTCATTTTTAATAATTTTTCTTTGATAGTGAATTATATTAATAATTACATTCTTTGATATTGCCTAAGTACTTTAATCTTTATATAGCAGTTTCAGTTTTATCTGTTAAAAATTAAATGAAAAATGTTAAATATTTATAAAAAAAAAAAAAATATAGAAAGAATATAGGTTGTTTTGATGAAATATTGTTAGAAATATTTCTTCAAAATGACTTTTTTTTTTTTTTTTTTTTTTTTTTTTTGCATAGTAAAAATTTCCTTCTGTGAATAGTACTCCAGGTAGCTAACTTTGTTTTTTGTTTTTATTTTTTTTTTTTTTTTGCTCTTGAAAAGTCTAATTTCTAATCAATAATACATTTTAATATCAACTATTGTAATTAATTTACTATATTCACCATCTGTGTGAGTTTTTTTTTTTTTTTTTTTTTTTTTTTTTAATGAAAAGTTTCAAGATTGCACTAAGCTTAATTTTGTACAAGATTATATGGAATTAAAGGGATTGTATTGCACTAATCAAATTAGGAGATCTTATCACTTTGGAAAGTTTAGCATTTGAAATCCTGGCTTTTTACTTGTATTTGGACATGGATCGCTTACCAAGTTTCAACAGTATTTTTTTGTACAACTGTATAGGAAGCCATGAAATAAGCTTAAAAGTTTCAAGGTAGTAGTAATATTACTACTATTAAATAGTACAATTATTTTTGCTCATTCTCTCTCTCTCTCTCTCTCTTTTTTTTTTTTTCAATTTTGTCAAATCTGGATTAATCAATTTCTAATTTTGATTGTATTTAGTGTTTCTTATTACTGTCCTGAAATGTTTATAGAATGGTTGCTTAAAGTGAGCTTTATTTTTGTTACTTTTAAATTTTGTGCTTAAATACTTACTGCAATACCATGATTAAAAGTTGTCTCATAAGTCATTTCATTGTTCATTGAATGTTCCATGAATGTAGCTGCATGTCAAAGTTCATTTTTGCAGAGCATGGAATTTTTATTCTTATTACTTTTTTTCACATCTTATAATATCTAAATATACTGTGTTCACTGTGCTTATTTTTATGGCTAAAGCTTAGTCTAAACAGTTAAAAGTTAGCAATAAGTTTTAGTGAGCAGAAAAAAAAAAACAAATGAAAACATTTATAGAAACACTTTCAGGTTTAAAATGAATTACCTGATATATTTTTAAACAGTGTGAGGAGGAATTTTAAGTTATGAATTAAAATTGGAAGTGAAAATTGATGTTTTAACAAGGAATTTCTTTCCAAGTTGAAATTTGAATAGTTTGTCCAACTTATTTATAGGTTGTCATTTATTTTTAAATTTAATCTGGGAAAGTTTAAACTATTGTGAAATATTTGTCATTAAAATATAGAAAGCTTAGCAAATTTTTCTGACAATGTAAACATCAATCAGTAGAAAGTGAATAGTTGACATGGTATTTGTGTAGCTTGATACCTGCTTATCTATTGTTCTCTTTACAAACTAGTTTTTATAGTGTTTTTGTTATTTTATATATAAGGTTCTGTTTAATTTTAATATGTAAACAGTTTAGAAGAAAATATACTTAATCCTTAAAATATTATCTACAGGATTTTCTAAAAAAAAAAGGTTTTCCTAATAAATTTTCTGAACAATAACATAGGATTTTGATATACTTTTAGATTTTTGTCAAAGTTTATAACCCTTTTGTAATTTTGAGATGAACTTCAAATTACTTTTCAACAAAAATTCTTTATTGTTGGTGTTACATATACTGATTCTAGATTTTTATTTATTTTCAGTACATGAAAAAACTGCAAATTCAAGAGCGCGTTGTGGATGAGGTGAAACTTGCCATTAAACCATTCTATAGTGGTAAGAAAATAGACAAAAATGAGTACAAAGAAATATTACGGAAAGCAGTTCCAAAAGTAAGTGAATATTTTCAAAGAATTTTTTTTTTAACTCTTACCAAACTTAATAAAGCTGTTAATATGAAAAGAAATGCTGTTTGGCATAATGTGGTTCATATTTATGAAGAAACCCCCAAAATATGCATAGTTAATATCTTGTCTTTTTCATTACTTTATCAATTGCTTTTTTTAATATAGAAGACTTATCTCAATGGAAAGTGATACTATATGCGTGTACATGCACACAATTTCAACTATCTTACAGCATTGTAAAAAACATTTTTAAGGAGAAAAAGAAAAATACAATTTGTACATGAATAAATTTAGTTCATTAAGAAATTTACTAAAGATTGGATATGAAAAAATCTATGTAATTCAGTATGGATTCATATAAGCTATTTTACTTTATTACTTTAATGTGGTAGACTCTCACGACGTATGATAATCAAGCAGCTGAGTTCATGGGAATCGACAGCCCAAACACCAGCACATATGATCAAAGCAGCACCTTGTCTGTCATATTCAATGAAACTTTTATATATATATATATATATATATATATATATATGTCTTTTTTTCCTTTTTTGTAACTTTTAATGTCATTTTAAAGTTTTTAAATATCACATGTAAAAGTCTTGTTCTGTCAGTGATACTTGCTTTATGTTGTACATTAAAAATTAGGAAAATAAGGAGTGTTAGTTGAGCACTCCTTATTTTTAATGTACAGCATAATGACTGAATGCTGAAACTGGTTAAAGCATTTTAGGTAAGAAATAGTGGTACTACTTCAATTTTCTTTCTTTACTGCCAGAAATATTTATTTTGTTAGTGTAGGAAAGTGATAAAAATCAGTAAGAAAAACTGAAATTTTGCTTATATATATGAGGGTCAAATTTAAATATGACTGTGATTATTGTTTCATTTATTTCTCTATTACCAGAATTTGCTGTGTTCACTCTATGTAATCAGTGGAATGAATGAATGCTTTAACATATTTGTTTAATAAATGCTACTTGTAATAAGATTTTTATTGTTTTTCTATAATACAATAAGTTTCTAAGAATTTCATACTATTTAAACTCATCTAAAAAAATAAAAAAAGTGGTAAAATCTTTTCTTTTTTTAAGAACCTAACTATCAATAATTTGTTTTATGCAATATTCTGATTTTCCCCAAATCATTTCATATCTTGATAGTATCTCTATGACTAAATTTCTTTGTCTTTTTTTTTTTTTCATATATATAAAGATCTGCCACAGCAAGAGTGGAAACATCAACCCAGCCAAGATCAAAGCATTAATTGAGGCCTATGTAGACAAAATGTGCAAGACACGCCGATACATGGAACGCAAGAAAAAAGGCAGCTTAAAAGCCAATGGAGAACGAATTAAGAAACCTTCAAGATAACTAGTAAAGCCTGGCTAGCTGTTTTGAAATTTGTTTCTGTATTATTAATGAAGTGTCAAACATTTCAAAGCACATTCATAAAAAGGATGGAGAGAGAGAGAAAAAAAAAAAGAATGAATCAGACAATAGGAAAGATAATAAAGTACAAGACTTAACATTGGTACTACAACTTCACAAAGTGGAGATATTTCCTATGACTACTATTACTACCACAACCAAGGGAAAATACATTTTCCCTAAAACCAACACCACCAGTACTGTTATAAATGCCAATATGAATTCAGCAACTGATATGCTACCATCATGCTCATTTGCTACTGTGTGAACATGAACAAGTATCAACCAAATTACATGCAATGCAGTGTTTGGAGAAGCCATCATCTGATCATGTCAGTGACTTATCATCTTCAGATATTTTTATTATATTTTTTCTATCTTTTTGCTAACCAGTCACTATTGATTTTTTTTTTTTTTTTTTTTTTTAAATGGAAATTTAACATTGTGGCTAATAGAATATAATTATTTTTTTCTCTTTCTTTCAGGTTTAAAAATTTTTATCATAGGAAACCATCACATTGTATTATTTCTTTAGATTACTAATTTTGGAGACTGTGCAGCATTAGGGCCATATTGGTTATTCTTATATATTTGGACATGGTTTCTAATTTTCTAATTAGACTATGCCTTTCTGGTAATACTAAGAGGGAAATAGCATGAAAAAAATGATTTTAAAAAAAAATAGTAAATTTAAAATCACCATCACATTTTCAAATATTTTATAAAAATGTATGGTTTAGTATGACTCGGTTCTAAAAAATTTTTTTCTATGTCTCCTTATGTTTATTAACAAAGATCCATGTAAAAAAAAAAAAAAATAAGCCTATTTGCCATGCCTCTTCAAAGGCTGAGAAACAGTTCAAGGCTACATGCAGTGTGGCAACATTCCCATTGCCTGATGCTGTATTGTATTGCTTTCTCACAGAAGTTCGCCATGGTAAGAGATGAAAGTAACACTTGAGATGTTACCTATGGCTGCCAGTTCTCTTGAAAACCACAGAGCATTGCATTTGGTAACTTAACACTGAATTATTTGAATATTGAACCCTCTCACTCATTCATTCATCATTCTTTAATTGATGAATTCAGATTCATTGAATTCTTCAGCTACATCCATAAAATTTACTTAAAAATTTGGCAATCCTTTAAATACTGTACATGAGTGATTTAAAATGTAGAAAATGTACACGTTTACTTATGTTTAGAAGTTAAATATTAAAACTTTTTTTAACACACACACACACACACACAAGATTATTCTTTTATTGTCTGCATCTAAAAATCTGTTTAATCTCTTCATACACTGTCCTTTACTGCCAATGCAAATAACATTGTGATATACTATTCCTAAATTTTGTTTTACATTTATGCCAGCTGCCCAGCATCTCATGCAGATAAATTAGCCACAACTTTAGACAGGTTTACAATATTTTTTATAAATTTTCCCTCAAAATTTAAGAATAAATTCTCTTATTAATAGCTATATTGCTTTAGAATTAGTATAAGAAAGAAAGAAAAAAATATGGAAAATCAATTTTGAATATATTTTCTTTCATTTATTCAAATAATGAAGGCTATGTGAACAATTGGTTACACTGTTTCAGGTCCATAGAAGTTTGGGTGCAGTGGTGCTGCTTTATATATAGTATTATACTATGAAACTTCTATGGGGAATAAACTTGGTCTGAATGTATAGAAAGTTGTTGAACTTTTCCAATATTTAGGTGTTTTATTAAAGATAGTTCCTATTTATACTAGCAGAAAAAGGTGGGGGAATAAAAATATTATTTTCCCTTGTATATAAAAAAACTGTCTTGCTTGTATCACAGTTGTTTTGAGTTGTCACAGAGGATGGAAACATTAGCAGAGAATGGGTGTAATTGCATGCTATGAAAGTAATTAAGAAAAAAAAAAGTATCAAATTATTAGTGGTGTGAATCATTCCTAGTCCATCTAGTTTTGCTCATGAGTTAACCTACACACTGATAGAGCAACAATGAAAGATTGAAAGGAAATTGATAAAAAAAAAATTGTAATTTATCACTGGCCTACATCATTTATCTTATATATTTTAATTGTGAAAGTTAGACAAATTTACATATATGCAAACCCAAAAAGTTATTCATAGGTTATTTATGACTTTTGTCAACTAACTTGAAATGAGAATTTACATGAATTAAAATAATTCCATGAGCCACCAAATTGTACTTTAGGTGATTTATCAATTCAACAGTTACTTATGCATTTTATAATCTGCTGGTTCAAAAACTTTTAAGTATATTTTAGTAAATTACCATTACCAGCACTTGGGTAGTTAATCTTATAGTATGAAAAAGAAAAAAAAAGAAAGAAAAAAAAAAAAGAACCCTCACTTGCCCTGATGGTGAAACTTTTCTTTTAATGTATCTATTCATGTATTTCACTTTGATATAGAGTGAACTGTTTCAATACTTTCAAGAACAAAGAATTTAATAAGTTTTTTGTTTTTTTATAAATTGTAAATGCTTTCAACTTGTAAAAGGCTAAGGAAAAGACATTTCAAAAAGTAGAAAGAAATATTCTTAAAAGTTAATAAGTTATTTCCGGTGATTTTTTTTTTTTTTTTTATACAAATAAAAATTTGTCAAAAGGATAATGATTTTCAACTTGACATGCACTGCCATTATTTCACTTTTATCATTTGTAGAAATTGAAAAATATGGAAAGACTTAAAAATTAAAATTAAAAATTTAGTTATGGAAATGCTTTGACACATAATGATAATGTTGTAAACAAGTATTTGCAATGTTAATTAAAAATCCGAGATTAGGTCCTGATCATAGTTGGTACTAATGATAAAATCAATCCAAAGGGAAGTAAATCTCTTGTTAAATTTAAATTTCACTATCTTAATATATCTACTTTGTAAATTAATATATTGTTTTGCTTAATTTGTACCCGATTTTTCTCCTCAGGTTCAGTACATTAATGTATGAATGTGTCTTTTGGCATCTTGGAAAGTTTCATACAGAAATTTATTTTGAGGGGAGCAGTGTGAACATTATATTGAAGTAGTTATATTTGGTTGTGTTAGTTGATTCTTGTTAAAATTTTATGCATATTGCATAATATTTTCAATTTTCTTTCATGCATTTGTTTTTACCGACTCTTATTTGCTATTTTATCAGTATTGTCTAAAGTTTTGAATTGAGCTATTGTTGTTATTCAAATTGGCATTCCCACTTTGTTGTTGGATGCTACCTACATCTGAGGAATGCTAGAAAGTGCACAGGCCAAAATGGGAGTGAAACTACCAAGTTGATGTTTTATAGATTTAAATAATATTTGCTTTTAATTTATGGAATGAGTTTTTCATGTTCCTTTCTTTCACAACTTTTCAAGTAATATTCTAAAGTCATTTATACATTTTTTATAATTTTATTTTAATGTTGAACAAAGGCATAATATTAAAAAGCCTAGAGTAGTCTCTGTCAGAGCTTCCCAAACTGTTGTCATGACATTGTAATTATTTATCTGTTCTTTATTTAATTATTAACTGAATTTTTAATTAACTTATTTCTCTTTGCATACATTTTGAATTATATATTTGGCTTTGCTAACAAATCTTAAGTGATGTATTGCAAAAAATTTTATTTTTATAATGTGTTGTCAATGTAACAAGTTTGGAAAACTCTGCTGTGTGGTTGTCTGTTAAGCCACCTCAGTAATTTTTTGTATAGACTTATTTATATTTTGTACAACTTTCTAAATTCTTGCACAAAATTTGGTGAGATAACTCTACACATATTTGAGAGTATAAATCTAATTTTATGTTTTGCACACACCCCATCTTGGTTTTGATCCAGTTGTTGCTCCCCAGTTTGAAAGTTTATCATTGCTTATCATCTCAGTATCTAAAACAAATTATTCTTTAATGTTGGCTCCTTCTCACTTTTTAACAGTATTCATTTTTAAGTAGTGATAGAATTTAATATTTAAAGAATTAATGAGGAATTTCTTTTGACATTTTCATCAATATAAGTAAAAGGATATTACATAATTGTTTCTTTTGTGAAAAAAAAAAGAAAGAAAAAAAAATTGAAGTTAACTTACAGAATAGTTAAAAGGTTAATTTAGGCTAGCGCTTAGTACTTTTAAAACAAGCTTTTACCAAAGTCTAAGATTCTTCAAATTGTTTACATTTAGCTAATAGATTTATTTTAGTATTTGATTGTTAGCACAATCTATTCAATCAGAAGTGAAAAAAATTTTTATAGATTTATGTTGGCTGTTTTATTTGCAATGTTTAGTCATTATTAGGCATTATTAAATGCAAAATTTTTTTTTATGAAGGTATTTTTTATCTTCTGTGTGTGTCTTATCATCCCCAACCAAAATTGTAAACTTCAGGTCTAGCTAATTATTTCTTTTTTTTTCTACAAGAGCCTTGCCAAATTTGTTTAGTTTGGCAATCATTTGTCATACTGTTATTCATTTTCACTTAGACTGTTATATAAAATAACTTTTCTTGTATTTTTCTATGGTTAAAAGGCAAGGTTTCACATATATCTTTGGTATTGATTTTTCTTTCATGAATGTTTCTTGTCTATTTTAATTAAAATGTTACATTTTTATGTGCAAATATGTAAAAGAAATTAATACCGATAGATATCAATGTGTTCTTGATAAATTTGCTATAGCAGAAAGCAATTATTTAAAAAAAAGAAAAATAGTAATTTAGTACTATTTTGAAATTATTGTGGTTACTGAACATTTTGTTGCCTAAAGTATCTTAGTCCAGACAACTGACTGAAGTGTTTTTTTTTTTTTTTGTTTTTTTTAATTCATGAATCACACATCAAATGAGTGGTATTTTAAAGGTTTAGATAAATATACATTGTAGTTTTAGACAAAAAGTAAATTATAATTTTTACCAATTTATTCATGTTAACAGTTTTTATTTC